TAAGCCCTCTGCTAGCAAAAGCATATGCTATACATCTCTAATTTAGTTAGTCTAGAACAGTGATTCTCACCCAGGAGGTTGTGGCACCCTAGGTTGCCTTGATGTCCCTTCAAGTGTGTCACAGGGTACTTCACAATGTTAGCACTGTTAGGTGTGCAAACAAGATTCACAAGATAAACCTAGAGATTTCAAATAGGAATTCATTGGGTTACAACATTCTCAGCTGTTGTGGTTTTTTCGGGTTCTTTGCAACAGAAGAATTGCTTTATTATTTTTCCTGTAGTCAAAAAACAAGTGAAAATGAAGAGCTGGCATTTTGCAAGGGGTGCCTTGAGTCTAACCCCCTCCACTCCCAGCGGGGTGTGACCAGAGCTGCTGCTGTCACAACAGCTGTTACCAGGCTCAGCTGGGACCAGAGCAAATGTGCTTCGTGTCCTGGGCTGCAGCCTGCTGGAGCAAGGTTAAGTGCTGGGAGAGCGGGAGGCAGAAGCAGCGGGGTGGGGAGCAGGCAGTATCTGTGGCTCCAACCCTTACCTTGGGTCAGTGCCAGGGCTGGAGCTGCAGCAGCTACCTGTCTTCCCCTGCCCCCCTGCTGCCTTGTACTTGAATCTAAGATGAGGTCCCACTCCCCCCCATGTTAAATAAGGGGAAAAATCTTGTATTGGATTCCAGTAAACACAGTTCATGTAGATAGTTTTTAAAAGGATATTATTTTGTGTTAAACCAGTATCTTCATATGAAACTTTAAAGGTGCGGTCTCCTCTTGTGTGTGGAGTCCACCTGCTTTCTTAGATCCTTATGAGTGGCAAGAGCTGGCTCTCAAGATTCCCATGTGAAAAACAATAGATGGACTTAACATTTATGCAACAAAGCTCAAATTAAGGCCAGGCTGTAAACACTGTTCCTACTCTGACCAAGTTTAAGTGGTGCAACTGCAGCATTGGCAAATTTGTAAAGATTTCTACTGGCGGAAAGGAGAGTGAGCGCTATTCCGTTCCACGTAGTCTGCATACCAAAGGATTTTTGCAAGGATTGGGACATGTAAGTGGGGTTGGAGAGCTTTGGGGCTTGAAGGGCAGGCAACTGGGATCTCGGTGAACAGGAAAAATAAAGGACATTCCCCAACTGATAATTACATTCAAAAAGGAAAACAAAGAGCTTTCCATCAAGAATCTGACTGACAAACTAAATTTTGAGAGAGGCACTAGTCATGCATTTTAAACAACAGCCTATATGTATTAACTTCTGCAAGCTGTTAGGAAACCACAGCACAATTACTGTCCCGCAAGTACTTTCATGCAACATGTGAGAAATGGAAAAAATAGGTCCACTTATCATCAGCTGGAACACTTGAAAATAGTCTCTAATTATGTTTTTTTCAAGGCGGCGGCAGTGGCTTTTCCCACCCCATCCCATTTGTGCATGTGCGTTGTCCTGTTTCATAACTTCCACATGATGCTGCCTAGAGCAACAATCACTTCTGGCAACTGGTTTATATTATTTCTGTTACAGCTCTTGCTTTTACTAAAATCCCATCAGTCGCTCCAGCAATATTACACTGCTTAATGGTGCCTGGTCACTTGCAAACTCTCCCTGGATTCTTACTTTGTTTAAGCTCCAAAAAAGAGAATGTTTTGCTGTGAGCAGAGGGACTCAGGCACTCACTGTGATTGTGAGTCTGAGCGTGACCTGGGAGACAAAGTAAAGCGACTTGTCTCTTGGGTTGAACAGGTTTACACAAATCCAGTAATTTTTTGAGCAACTGTGCTAACAGCAAAATGTGTCTTTTGTTTCTCATTCAAAATGCTGGTTTGTAGGTGAGCCAGAGCTTGTGGCTGGGTGATAAAGGATGAAAATACCAATGTATTTCCTGCAGAATTACATAGGTAAATGCGATCCACTGCTGGGAACAGTTTATCTGTTGCACATGTGCATGCATGGGTTTATCTGGCCTTCCATGGCTTAAGAGATCCCTGTTTGCTCTAGGTCCCCATATAAATCTCTGCCATAAACACTGCATACATAAGACAAACTTCTGCTGTGCAGTCAAACCTCCCTGATCCACACACCTGGCAACTCATGAAAACAGTGGGTATTGGCAGCATAGGATTAATTCAAGTAAGATGTGGGGAGCACTTATTATTCTCCCTAAACAGACAACAATCAAAACTTTCCTAAATGACCACATGATTTGGGAACTAAAATCTTACCAACTTTCTGAGACCAAGGCTCTGAAGAGTCTTTCACCCCTTTGGAAAGTTTGGCCCTAGACTCTAAAGCCCTGTAGATATTTTTGAACGTTTTGCACCTACCAGGTTATGAAGTACGATAACTAAAGCAAAATAACTGTTGGCAAACTGAAGGAACAAAGGCCATTTTTCAATAAATGTTTTTATTTCTCTTATAATATTTGTTCACTTTCGTAAAACACGTTGGCCCAAGCATGAGCAGAAGTGCCATTGAAGTGAACAGAAGTACTCAGACGCTTAAAGTACACACGTATACAAGTGCTTGAGTAGATCAGGTTGTAACAACACGAATTCATTTGTGGAGGGACTCCCAGTCATATTGAAAAATAAGGATTTTTCTGCCTACTTAAAGGAAACATCACGTTTGGCCCATGCACTCTTCTTAGACTTTTTTTTGACTCAGATCCTTGTTAACCCCTTAGCACCGGAAGAGTTGGATTTTCTCTCTGCAAGGTCCTCTGCTGTCAGCAGAGGCACTGGAAAGTCACCTGTATGACAAGAACAGTGTTCCTCACATTGCTGGCCAAATCCCTCAGCAAAGCTCAATCAGTTTGGTTTCAGTGCTGTTGGAGGCCTGAAGTTCTCATGGCCTTTCACAGAACTTCTGAAACCCAGGCCCAGGCCTTTTAGCGCTGAGCACAATGGGGACCGTTCAGATCTCAGCCAAGGGGTACCAGCTCCTACGAGGAAGGAATTAATTGTGTCACAACGTTCTCATTAACGTCACAGGAAAAATATCTAATAAAGGCATAAGGGAATAGCAAGAAGCAAATCTGACTGTTCTTAACCAATTCTGCCCTCAGGTTATGTCTTATGGCAATCAGAGGAATGTACTGAAATAGATTATGGGCACGGGAAACAGAAACAGGGCACGGGAAAACAAAAATGTAAAAAGGAATACACAGACTGAGTCCATGCATTAAGTAAGGTCCCCATATAATGTCTATGACTCATACACCTTCCCAGAGAGGTGGTGCTCTCACCTTCCCTGGAGATCGTCAAGAGGAGACTGGACAGGCACCTGGCTGGGGTCTTATGACCCCTGCCACCCCCAGTGCTCCTTCCTGCCCATGGTGGGGGGTCGGATTCGATGATCTGTCTAGGTCCCTTCCAACTCATTGATTCTCTGATTCTATGATAAGAGTTTACCATTGGCTTTCAGTACGCACACCTAACCGTAGCTTGTATTCTCCAGTCAGAACAAATGTATCCCATCTCTTGAAGGCCCATCTAGAAGAGCTGAATTTTTAGACTGATCATTTGACCCCATATACTTCAAAAAACAAACATTTATTCAGCCATATCAATGAGTAAGTACGCAACAACCATTTGAACCATCTGCTGTGTTTCAAACACACATACATCATGGACCATACATGCCCATGCCGGCAAATGGGGTCACCTCCTGCAATAAAAAGAATATCCAAAAAAACTGTGCATCACCTGGGGGCTGTTTGAACAGAGATGGCTTTGGGGTTCAAAACCAGCATTGCAAATTTTTGTTTCCTTGCCCGTATTAGGCAACAAAAGAAATTCTTGTGATTACAGTTGTGCAGAGGGAAGACAGCCTCTGAGGTTGTTGTAAACGTGAGTTAAAATCATAGGACAGTTTGGAAAAATGGCTTCAAATATATTCAGCTTATGCTGATAATCCCCACACTGCTGATACTGACTTCTTAAAACATCCACTCGAGCAACATCTTCTGTTTCACTAGATGCTGGCATCATCTGAAAATGCGTTTGTCCGTTGCAACAGCTAAACTGCTAGTGTTGCAGGAAAAGGTCATTTAAACCTACTGTACATCTGCAGCTCTGAAGGCAAGTCCAAAAGTATCTAGAAACAGCATGCTGAGGTTATGGGGAACCAGGAATGGTGAAAAGTGTCTTTGTGTACTCATACAAAGGGGGAAAAACAAGAAACCTCTTCCAATCTATCTTTCCAAATCACAGAGTACCTTCCCCAGTATCCTTCTCTGTAGTCACTTATTTACCATTTTAATGAATCATACAAGTTAGAGATGGAAAAGACCCGGCAAGTCATGTAACTCATCTCTTTGCCATAAGAGCAAACGTCTTGTATCATTCATGTAGTGCTATGTCTTCGTATAAATGCCTTTTGCCACTGGTTTTACACCTTTTCTTTCAGGATACTATTTCAGAGTCTCACTAATATGAAGTCTTTCCTGATTCCACTTGTCTCTTCTGGTAATTTCTGCTCCCAGTGCTTACATTGACTTAATTCTCAGCTTTAAGCCACGATTCTGTTTCACCACAAATATTTGGAGGTTTCTTTCTGTATTTTCTGTTTACAGTCTATATTGAATTAAAATAAAAGGAGGAAGGTCATGCATGTCGAAGAAAGAGAGTATCCTTAGGAATGAACAAGAGCAAGGACCAGAGCTTTGGTCAGTCAAAGACTTTGATGAAGCTCAGCTTATTGATGGCAGCTGAGAACGTGGTCCTAAAATATTCTGAGGGGGTTCATCAGGCACAGCAACTGTGACAGAAACACTGGCCCTTTTCTGACTGTGAATTTGTGTAACTTGGGCCTTTGGGACAAAAGTCTTAAACAAGCCCCTGGAGTTATGGATCTGGTTTTACATTTAGGCACATAATACATGTGGCTTGGTTTTTCAAAGTGGTTGAACACCTGAAATTCCTGCTGACTTCAGTAGGGTCGTGGTATTGTTGAGAGCAAGCAGCTTACACAAGTGGATAAATATAGTCAGTACAGCCCCTGTCAGCTCTAAGCATGGGGCACCCCTCCCCAGACTCTTGGGTGCAGTGGGGTATAAGAAAGTAAGCACTGCAAGAAATAGGTGCCACTACATTTTTGAAAAGTTATGGAAGGGGTCTTGTGTCTAAAAAGGTTCAAAACCACTACTGTAGGCCACGTCTATACTGTCTCACTTGTGGTGGCAAAAGGACGCTGCAAGACTTTGCACTGCCTAACTGCTAGGTGTGGACAACAGAGAAGGAGTGTTTTTTTCTTGGTGGGGGACATGGCCCAAGAGGGAAGTGGCATAAACGTGGCCCCATTGACGCTAATACTGATTTTGCGTACACTTGTGTCAGCTGAGTACTCTGCCCTTTACAAAGCCCTGAGGCCACAGCCTGGGAGCCCAAGATCATAAGCCTGACACTATTCTTTAGACCAGCCAGTTGTCACATTTTACCGTCTCCAAAACATGTCAGTAGAAAACAAGCCATAACCTGTAACAAATGGAGTAGTTAGGGACAGACTCTTTCACAAAGAAATTACACATTCACAAAATAGTTACATCTTTTGTGTGGTTATTCGCTGAAGCAATGTTTATAGTTTGGTCAGGTCATCTTGTAGCCAGTGTGTAATCATGGCAGCCATCTCTTTGCTGGCATCTAGGACGAAAGCGTGCCGGAAGCCTCTCTCGCAGAGCCGGATATCCCCGTCGGGGAAATCCATCTTGATCTCCTCGTAATATTGTTGTGGACACCAGCCATCTGCAGTCCCGTAATAAAATATCAGCTACAAATCAAAGCAGAGATAAAACATTCATTTGAAAAAGGTGGTGGTGGAGGTGGAGGTGAGCGGAAAGCAAAACTGGGAATCATGATACATCTTGGTAAATCATCATTATTAAAATCATAAGCTCCATTATACCACTCTCCCACAACGAGAGGCTGTAACCTTCTTACCAGTATCTGGTTAGTGTTTGCTCCTTTTGTCAAGAAATAGTTTCCCAATGACTCAATCTAATAGCAAATGCCCAGTTAGGCTGACGTCACATCCCGGGAAACTGCTCTGATCTCCAGGGGACTGTACTGAACAGAGGCAGTATCACCTTCACTTACAGCTAGCTTTGAAAGTGGCAAAAAATCTCGAATCCTGTACGCAGCCTAATCCTGTCGGTGTCTCTTGGGGCGCTTGGAGAACATCTACTAAACCTGACAGGAGGCATTGGCAGAGGAACACTTGAGGCTAAATCCTATCTCACTTTTGGAGCCTAAATGGTATGTACACAGCTGCACAACTGCAGCTCTTGGCGCTTATGTATAGCTTGTGATTCAGCATTGCCTGTCCTAGCCTCCTCAGTATGCCTAGGGATGTAAGAACACCTGTGCAAAAAGTCCAGACATTTAGTCAGGCAAAACCCATGACTAGCAGGTGTTAGACAGAGGAGACGGACTTTCTCATATGTTAGCCCAGTGCCACAGTGGCCAAACCACGGCTCGCCGGCACGGTACTTGCGGCTCTTGGGGGCCCACCCACTTCTCCCCGAGGTGGCTCTGGGGGACACTGGGCTGCTGGGGCTGCAGTTGCATTGCTTACCCTGGGGAAAGCCAGGGCAGTGCAGGTGATGGTGGTGGTGGTGTGCTCACCTCCACTCTGGGTGGCTCAGCACTCCCTGCCCCCCGCTCTCTGGCTTTGGTGGAGGATCGAATGTGGCTCCCAGGGTAACTCTGGCCACCCCTAGTATAATGGTTACATCAGTATCCTAGGAAGGAAGAGGCCCAGGTTCTAGGTCCCCATCACCAAGTGAGGGCTTAGCCCTGCTTCCCAACACAATGCTGTAACCATCAGGCAGGCATTGGCCAGATCCTTTCCCAGCCCCCTTTTTGAAGCTTGTCCACTCTACTGTGCATCTAATATCAAATAAATGGATGGAGAACAGTTACTGCCCTATTGGGAGCAAGGGCTCAGGCTAAAAAAAAGCAGTCCACTACTAGGATGAATGCTAGGGCAGCATTCATTTCACTGACCCACACTCTCCTTTACATGTTCTCTTCCTCCTGGTCCCACATATCTGCCTCTCTTAGCTGCCCAGTGCTGCTTCCTATGGCAGGTACACATGCAGAGTAATTCTGTTCTCCTCTGTGGTGAAAATGTGTATGTGCCAAAACCTGCAGGTATGTGGCTATGTATGTATCATTAGCCATGTAAGGAGGACAGGATTTAGCTCCTAGGAATCAGGGGCAGACATGAACTAAGAGCTGCACTGCTCAGTCTTGTCAAAATGAGGGTAATCCTGGGATATACAGAAGCAGGACTTTAGATGCTGGGTAATTTCAATTCTTTATTGTAGGGTTCCAGTGGGTTTAGGCACTTCTGAGGGTCATCTCAATTGCAATTTTGGAGTCTGGTGCCTAAATTCTTCCCAAGTGCTTTCTTGGATTTGACCCTTAATGTCAAATCATCTAAAGTCACACAGAAAGCCCATGGCAGAGCAAGGACTTAAATCCCAGCCACCCAAATTCCAGGCTAACGAAGTAATCAAGAGACATCCCTCCTCTCTGTTCTTTCCCAGGAAATCATTTTATAAACCTCACCTTGGCATCCCAAATTCTCAAACTTCTGCGTTTCAAATTTGGGTGTGAGAGGTTTTTTGTCTTACACATAGCAAGGTCCAACAATTTTGAAAATGTGCAAGTATAAGTCCAACACTGATGACACTTACTAAAATATTAAAGTGCAAGTATGGGATGTGCCATGCTCGTGTTCCTCCCAGGCGGTCAAGAGCATTTCCTTTGTACTAAATGTAAGCTGGAATCTCTTGAAGGAAAAGATTCAAGGGTTGGAAGCATGGGAATCCACACCACATGCTGTCAAGGAAAATGAAGACTTCTTGGTTAGGAGTCATAAGAGACTGGTGCTGGGAAGACTAAAGGGAAAAAAGAGAAGTGGCAGTGTGTGACCACTATAAGAAGGGCCCCCAGAATTCAAGAGGAACAGACTGAAGGCAGCAACCACATTCAAGCACTCTGTGGTGGAACAGCTGAGGAAAAGGCAGAGGTGAGGACATCAGAAGGCAAGAAGCAGAGGAGCCAGCAGTCTAGAGAGCAGGAAATTCAGAGCCCCAGGGATGGGGGCTCCAAGACCACGGCATCAAGAAGGAAGAGAAAAGTGGTGCTGATTGGAAACTCCCTTCTGCTGGGGACAGATGCATCAAATGGCTGTCTGGATTTGGGGTCCTGGGAGGTGTGCTGTCTGAAGCCCATATTTAGGAGGTACAGAAATACTTCCAAAGCCCATCCACTCCTCAAACCACCACTCTTTTCTGTTTGCTCATGTATGTACCAGTGATATTGCTAGGAATGATGATAAGCAGATATGAGGAAACTACAAGGCTCTTGGCAGGAGGATTAAGGAGCTTGGAGCACAAAGGGTGTTTTTCTCATTTCTCCTAGTGGAAGGCAGGGGCCCAGGCTGGGACCACTGACTTATGGAAGTAAATGCATGGCTGAGACAGTGGTGTTGACATGAAGGCTTTGGGTTCTTCGACAACGGGCGGACGTTCTGAGAAGAAGAACTGCTATCAAAAGATGGGATCCATCTAATCAGATGGATGGGAAAGAGCATCTTTGGGTGTTGTTTGGCCAACCCAGTAAGGTGGGCTTTAAACTAGGTTCCATGTGGGACAGTGAACAAAACCCTCCAGGAAGAGAGCAAATAAGTCAGAGGGGGAAGGACTTGAAGAAGCAGCTCAACTCTGGGAAAGGGCTAGAGAGCCACAGGACAGCAACAAGTGATGCAAAAGGAAAACAAGTAGGTCAGAATGCAAAATATGTCCGATGTATGCACACAAATGCAAGAAGTATGGGGGACAAACACGATGAGCTGGAAGTCACAGCCTGTGAAAAGAGCAATGACTTACCTAGTATCATAGAAACCTGGAGGGACAGCTCTTACTGGTGGAACATCACCACTGAGGGCTACACTCTGTTTTGGAAGCACAGGGTTGGGAGAAGGGGTAGTGGTGCCGCCTTGTATTTAGAAAAATGCATGCACTTGTTTCCTGGTTCAGGAGGAAGAAGGTAGCAGATCAGAAGGTATTTGGGTAAAGATAAAAAGTGAAAGATACAGCACTGATATAACGGTGATTTATTATAGGTGGGGACGTACCATATTGATGATTTCACAGATCTTGCGAAATCTGGGCAATGCCTGCAAAACCCATGGGGTGGGGGAAGCTTATGGAAAAGAAAATGCTGGCTCCTTAGAGGGAGCCGGCAGTCCTCAACGTGCTGTTGCAGCCTAGTGGGGCAGGGAAGTGGAGGCTGCCTGCTCGAAGGGCTGCGGACAAAACAGCTGCCTCCCCCCACCTCTGATTGGCTGTGAGAGCTGCCTGCCATGTTCCCATGCCCCTCTCCACAATCAGCAGTGAGAGGTGGGGCTACATGATGAACAGCTCCGGCAGCCAATCATCAGTGAGGGATAGGTCTACATCACAGGCAGCCCTCAAAGCCAAATCGTTGGCAAGGCATGAGGCCACTGGAGCACCTTGGCTAGAGGTGTGTGTGTGCGTGGGGGGAGGGCTGCCATGCTCCGCCCACAAAATGGCTGCCTGTGCCCGTGTTCTCCCCTCCAAATCAGGGTGCAGCCCTGTGAATTAGGTAGGTCCCTAGTTATCAGCCACCATATCAGAAAGAACAAGTGGATGCGACACTCTTCAGGAAGATGCCAAAAGTATCCAAAATGGTACTGATGGGAGAGTTCAATTTTCCAGACGTCTGCTGGAAAAGCAGTATAGCCAAAGGTAAAATGTTGAGCAAGTTCTAGCTCATGTGGAAGACAGCTTTCTGGTCAAGAAGGTTGAGGGCACAACCTGGGGATCATCTATCTTGGATCTTGCCCTAACCAAAAGGGAAAAATTGGTCGAGGTTGTAAAGGTGATGGGCAATTTGGGAGGAAGGAGTCACGATATAACAATTTATGATCCTGAGACAGGGAAGTAGAACTAAGTTGCTAGATTTCAAAAAGGCAGATTTCAACAACTCAAGGAGTTAATAGACATGGTATCATGGGAAGACAGATCGAGGACCTTGTCACGTGTTACATTTAGCATGTGTTAACTGCACTCAAAACACTAATGTCCCAGCATTCAAACAGTAAAATGTGTGTTAAGTGCCATCATACTGTAAAAAAGGCAGAACTTTTCTAGTAAGGAATAGCTCCAGATCGTATTACCCAACACATGCTGAGCTTATGTCTCGCTGCTTCATGGAGGTCACAACCCCGGCACCATGCTAGAGCCAATTCTAAACTCCAGTGTGGTAGGGGAGGCTGGGACTGACTCTTTGTTGGTCACCCGGCCTCTCACCACACAGGAACAGGTTCAAGACTGGCTCAGTGGGTAGGCTGGGACCAACCATCAGCTCTTTGTCAGTCCCGGCCCCTACAGCATACCAGAGTTTTCAATGGTTCTGGTGCCTAAGATGTGATTCACTTAGACTTTAGTAAGCATTACCATGCAACTGCTCAGAAAAACTTTGTAATGTGTAGTAATGCTTAACTGGATCTAAATAAAAGGCATTTTAAGTATAATGTGACAAGGCCCTTGGGATAAAGGCGCCCAGGAGGCCTGAAAGTTTCTAAAGGGAATTAGAAATCCAAGAGGAATTAGAAATCCAACAAGAAACTGTTACAAGACAATGGAAGTACAAGAAGAATGGCAAGAGACCAATGTGGCTGCATGAGGAGTTCTAGGATGCTTCAAACACAAAAGGACAGTGTACAGGCAATAGAAA